GTCAATTTCATCAGTGCGTGTTTCTTGCAGGAGTAATATGTCGAACTTGTAGTCCTCAATTGTCTTAAGTAGTTCGGCTTTCCTTCTTGAGAGGCTGCGACAGCTCCATTGTAGAACTCTCAGAGGTGCTTCTTTTGTTCTTTTAGTGGGCCGGGAAACCCTGGAGAATCTATCCCCGTCTCTTCCGCCATCTTGGAACTACCGCCCCGCCACCTATAGGGCGTTGGAGTTGCAAATAGAGCGGCGGCACGGACACGCGGGAAAGGAAGGCGGCTGTCCTCCTCCCCCGCGGCCGGTGGAAAGGGCGGGGGGAGCGGTGTGGCGTACGCTATTGTCTGCAGGGGCTCCTCGCGCCACGGCACGGGGCTACACGATTCAATCCGCACGGGCCCTTAGTGGGGCGGCATGGACACGCGGGAGAGGGGTGACGCGTGCCCCCTCCCCCGCGGCCGACGAGGGGGAGTGCTGCTGGGATACGCGCTTCTGTCTGCATGTCTACTCGTGGCCCGCCGTGCGCGCAACGGGGCTACGCGATTTGGTCCGCACGGACTCTTTGTTGGGAAGGAGACTGGGTCGTGGCTCTCGTCGAGGCTGGCTTTACATGGAGGAGAGCGGTCTTCTCGAGAAAGATGGACGAGGCGTTGAGGAGTCTTGTTTTTGTCCGTTTCTACTCGTGTGGCTGCATAAATTCTTTGGTTCTGCAGGAGAGTCCCAATCAGGACCGCCCGGGCGTCATTTTGTTCTGGGCACTCCAGCAGAAGGTGGTCCGTGCCTGCCCTCTCGCCACAAGCCGGGCAGTCCTGGTCAGCGTCCCGGATCTGTCTGTGAAAACTCTTGACGAGCCATGGTGCTACCGCTCGATGTGATCCTCCCCAAGCTGCATCGCCGTGATTTTCGCCGTTTTTCTTCGTAGTTCTATCCCGTCAATGTTTTGCCATATCATGTTGAATCTTCACAAAGGCCTTCCTTCTCGTCTTTGCGCTTGCGTGGTTGTTCTGCAGTACCCGTGTCGACATACATCTCGTATTATATCTTCGAAGTCCGCTGCTTTTATTGTAGGTGCATTACAACCTACTTCTGGCCAACGATTGACCGTTTTTCTATGGGTACGTTTCCAGATTATGTATAGAATTAGGCAGTGTCTATTTTCTCGGCAGCCGGGAGCATACTTTCCCCGATATTCTACTTAGCAATATTCTCAGTTGTATGAAAGCATAGTAGTACCTCTTTATATTTCACAGATCGCTTGCGAGTCTGTACTTGTCTACGGTATAGGCTGTATACAATAAACTTCTATACTAATTGAAAACAATATTTGTGTCTGTTTTCCTGCCTATCTCCAAACACCTGTGCGAGTACAATTTTATACGGGTTCCCTTTATACAATAAATAGGCTTATCGAGTCCCGCATCGAACGGGCAACCGTCAAACGGGTACCATTTCAAACTGATACCCTTTTAAATGTGTACCCATATCCCATATCCACGTTTGATCCAAATGGGTCGACAAGTCTACCACCGGTTGATTCAAACGGGTCACCAGTTTTCCACCCGTTTGAATTTAATTTTTTTTTTTTCAGTAGGGAGCTGAGAGAACCCGTTTCGTCTATTGACAACTAACTGCATGCTTGTTAGCTCATTTGGTTGAGCGCTTAATTGGAAACGGAGAGTTCGGTAGTTTGATACCATTACAAGACTTTTTTTTTCTGTCACGCGCCGGTCATTTAGCTGTTTTTGGAGATTTTTTTATTTTCCTATAGTCCTTTTTCTTCCTTGTTTCTTCTCTCCAGTGAATACTACACTCTAAGAAAAAAGTTGGCCTCAAGGGACTAACGGCAGCATTTGGTCCTCTGAACTCCCAGTTGCTCCCCGAAAGGACCATCTGGCTCAAGCTATGTACCGTGCGCAAAAGCTGGGGACTAACTGCGCTCGACTGGGACTAACCGATAGGCGTGCGCGAGCAAAAGCATCCTTTAGTCCCCCTTAGACATGGCGCATCTGTATGGTTTAGTCCCCGAAGGGAAACGGAATGTTCGCCAGGAGGACGGATGCTATTTCGCTTGTCTTGGGGATCGGCGAGACTCAGCCCAGCACGGCTGAAAGTGTTGACAAAACTCGGACGAAACTGGCGAATTTGTTTAATGTGCCACGAACATTAAGACGTTACATGGTAGAGCTTCACACGTTGTGCGAATGCGAGTTAACGAATGTGTTGGCTCGGCTTCACCCAACTCTCTCGTCAAAAATGATCTACGCGTTGTGTGAATGCGAGTTAACGAATGTGCTGACTCGACTTCACCCAACTGTCTCGCCAAAAATGATCTGTTGACATTTCACAAGTCCCATTCACGTAATTTTCCTTCGCGCAAAAAATTAGGATTTATCCAAACGCAACACATCCAAATACTTACACTTTTTTTTCTCTTAAATGTAACGTAACAGTTCGTAGAAGCCGCGCTTTCAACACCGGAGTCTCGTAGTCAGAATAAATGGTCACTTCAATCGCTAAAACTGAGTTACTGAGAACAAGTCGAGCCTCGTCTCTGCGTCTCCCCGTGACCAACCTTTCTGGGTAGTCCAATGTCGAACTCAAAATCCGCAACGACACACTTGCTGCACAGCACGTTCCACTCAAAAAGCACATTCAGGGGCAGTATCCAGACGCCTTCACGCCATCGCCGTCGCTGTTTCAGATAACATTCCACCCAGGTAGCACACTTGCTTGGTTTAGCTGGGGCCAGGGTTAGCACTTAGTTGTGATAGCTTGGCCACGACTGCCCAGCCATTTACGTCTGTATGCCAGCCTGGCGTTTCAGTCTTTCCTTGCTCCAGAAAGCCACGGAACTGCCAGGGAACGTCTTCCCTGGTTGACCAATCAATTTCCTTGGTCACTGATGGGCAGTGTAAACAGGCCGCTGCCAGTATTAGATGAACCCTGGCCGTCTATTGGGCAGATCGAACTATAGGGGGCGATTTATCGAGGTTGTTGTCCCCACAGCCCGGTGTTTACTAACACAGCATAACAAAGAAATTGAACCTCGTCATGCACGGAGTGGACACGAGCGCGTCGCTCTGACCAATGCTGGCCTTCGAACCGTCATCTTCGATATCGCTGATCAAAAACAAATAAGAAAACTCGATTTGTTGCCTTCACAGCTGAAGCGTGCCGCTAGAGGCCAGACTGTTCGATCTCCTCCCCAATTGACTTTCCTCGGTCAGAGATGGCCTGGATAGCAATGCCTCTGCGCAGCTTTGGGGTTCCATGGTGGTTCGCGGGAATTCCCTGGTCCGCTCAACGCAAGCAACAGCCAATAATCGGGCATGTTGCCAGATCGAAGATAGGTTGAGCCAAGGAATCTCAGGGAATTGCCGCCATGCAATGTTCCGTGGCTCAAGCTCGTATTTTATCGGACCCAGAATGCTCGCTGAAAGCCACTGTTACCCTATAGTTCGTTTAACTTTTTCCATTTTTTTAATTCGTATGAGCGTTCTCTTAACATATTTTTGGTGCTTTGTGGCACGAGCCCTCGCACTAGAAAGCGACGTTTGAGTGCAAGAAGTCTGTTTAGCTAGAGGCATAAAAAGAACACGTTTTCCCCGGTGAAAAAGAAAAAAAAAACTATTTGCAAACAGCTTGGATATGAACAGGCCACACCCGAAATGAACTGGTTGTAGTGGAATTCTACCGGACAAATTGGAAATCGAACTGTCAAAATTGGTAGAACTCGAACTGTATAATTTTCCCGCTTTTTACCGCGGCCTTTATCTACCCTGGCTTGCATAGAAAAGCCACTTCAAGCGCAAGTGCCTGAGGCGGGGAGCCTCCCACGTGAAGTTGGAAAAGCGCGGAAAAGATCCCGCACCATCTAGATGCTCCAGATGAATCAAGCGCATGGAATGCGCCAGTGCCCCAGGACCGGAGATGATGCTGTCTCCCCGCGCGCAGAGCGGATGCCTTGAAAGAGGAGAGCTGCTCACGTGCAAGGACAGAGAGCGCGCGTGCCAATCAGCGCGGCCCTCGCGCCCGCTCGAAGCGCCAGTCTTGAGGCGGCGGCGGCGCAGTTCCGAAACCCCCCCCCCCCCCCCCCCCAAAAAAAAAAAAAAATCCGGATCTGGCGTTAGTGGCGCGGACTTGGGTCTTTGTTCGCGCTGCTGTTCTGCTTAAGGAGGTTACAAGTTGCTGTGCTTGAATAAGATAGTTTCCCGGTGGCCTTGAGTGCTGCCTCTGCCGATGGTTCCTGTGGCTGATGACGTCCCCCGCCTGAGTTCCACTCACTCGCGGGCGACTTGACTTGGCAGCAGCGCGGCATTGAAGCAACGTGCCTAACCCCTGCTACGCCATCTTACAAGATACCTATCATCAAACCCTACTCTACTGAGTCAGCGAAACGTGCCGTGTCGTGTGACACCGCTATCAACAAGGGCCAACGGAACTGCGATTGGCGGACCACTGTCTGACACCAGGGGACCAAGCCTTGCTGGAACCGACACCTTTCACCATCCGGTCACTTGGCAGCAGCGCGGCATTGAAGCAACGTGCCTAACCCCTGCTACGCCATCTTACAGGATACCTATCATCAAACCCTACTCTACTGAGTCAGCGAAACGTGCCGTGCCGTGTGACACCGCTATCAACAAGGGCCAACGGAACTGCGATTGGCGGACCACTGTCTGACGCCAGGGGCCAAAGCCTTGCTGGAACCGACACCTTTCACCATCCGGTCACTTGGCAGCAGCGCGGCATTGAAGCAACGTGCCTAACCCCTGCTACGCCATCTTACAGTGTAGAGGTTTTTTTTGCGCGACACAGGGGACAATTACAAGCGAGTAGACACGGACAAGCGCAAACTTTCAACTACTTTATTCGTGCGCAATCGGCCACGAACATCCAGAAAGAGCATGCGCAGCACGCTACACAGACGAAAAAAAAACGAAAATAGATAGTAAAGTCATCCACCAAGACACAATCCACGATAGTCATTATCGAACCAGCAACCCGGATAAAAACTGCACTTCACTTTCAAACAAAGAAACCGAGGTATCGCTGACACAGTCATGGTTCTTCTTTATATAAAAAGCTTCCATCAATTCTCTGGCTGTGCTGTCTTTGCTTCTACCCAAGATCCTAATCTCCCGAAATCGCGCATCACACCCACAGTCGGCACAGTGAGTAGGCAAGTGTGCATTGCCTTTATTCCTGATCGACAATTCATGTTCCCGTGCGCGGTCATTAACGCAGCGACCAGTTTGACCAATATATACTTTCCCACACGAGAGCGGAATCTCGTATACCACCGCTGTGGCACAATCCACAAACGGTCGGGCGTGCTTTTTGTTGCAGCCACTTGTCTTTTCTCTTCCCGAGGAAATCCTCGGGCAAAGGCCCGCAAGCTTGCGTGGCGCAGAGAATACGAAAGGTACATTGTACCTATTCGCTACCTTCTTGAGGTTGTGGGACACTTTGTGTATATATGGCACCACTTCTGGTCTACACTTCCTTTGTGGCGGCTCTGGCCGCGTCCTCTGCTTTTCCTTGGTCTTCTGGAGCAACGTCTCAGCAACCGCCGTAATGACCGAGCAGGGGAAACCGGCAGACTTCAGCCTGGCTACCTGATCATTAAAGCTTCTGTGCATAGAGTGTGGACACGACTTCCTGAGGGCGGACCCTAAGCAGAGGGAGGCGATGGCTCGCTTAACAGTTTTTGAGTGAGCCGAGTCATACGGCAGCAGCCCCTTCTGTACTCGAGGGTTATAACGCCAGCATAAATGATTATTTTTTAACATCAATTTTATATCCAGGAACTGGAGTGAGTCATGGGTTGGAAGCTCATGTGTAAAGGACAGGCCCAACCCATGAACATTAAAAGCGGTTAAAATCTCATCCACAGAGTCGTCATAACTAAGCAGGTGTTGTTTTTTTAAAAGGATTAAAAAATCGTCAACGTATCTAAAAACCTTCAAGACACCGCCATCGACAAAGTGGTTGGCTAAGTCCCGATCAACGTGCGCCAAAAAAATATTACAAAGCACTGGGGCCACACAGGACCCTATGCAGATGCCCTGGCGTTGAATGTAAGGTCTGTCTTCAAAAGAAATAAAGGTGGAACTGAGGTAAAACTCCAACAAAGACAGGAAGTTGTCCACAGACACCCCCGTCGAGTTTTGAAAAGCCACTACTCCGTTATCGTCTATACACTCTCGGACGGACACACATAACTGCCCCTGAGGTACTGAATAAAACAGATCCTCAATGTCAACAGAAAACATGTACCCGACGGGTCTCGTTTGTTTTAAGTATGACGTTACGTCTTCCGCATTTGAAGTTGCAAAGGGATCCTTAATTTTCAGTCCCCCCAACTGCTTCAAAAGAAACTGGCTTAACAACAACTGCCACGACCCTTTCTCGCTGACAATGGTCCTGAAAGGCACGTCCACTTTGTGCGTTTTTGCCGAAAAGAACACAGACAAGGCGCTACCTTTACAGTCACCAATGGTTTTAGCTAGTTTTGTAAGTTCAAGGTTTTTGCACAAATCCACTGCTCTGGACTTGACACGGCAAGCACTAGGTTTGACAGCTTTAAAGTTCTTCTCCACCGCAAGACGGGCCTTCTCGCTGAACGTACCGGCAGTCATCGCCACAAATCCACCTTCTTTATCCGCTTGAAGGAGACGCAGATCGTTTTCTTTAAAGAAGTCCACAACCTTCACAAAGGAGTCCCTTGAACCCCGGGTGACGTCCCTGCTGACAGTCCGTGTGAGTACGTCGACACCAGCAAGCAGGCAACTATCGTGTTGTTCAGATGGTGCTTTCCTAGCAACTCGTCGGTTCAACGCCAGCAAATCATGCGCGGCCATGCTAGGTTCAAGACAATATTTTGGTCCTTTTTGTAGAACTCGTGAAACGTTCTCCGGTATTTGGACGTCTTCTCCCAAAACCAGGAGACCCGCACCAGTGGCACCCTTGTCCTTCACCACGACAGTCTTCAGGATACAGTTTAAGACCGTTGTCCACCACATCTCGATTACCCGGGCAGCCAGGCGTTTACATGAGCGCAGCTTGATCTCCGCCAGCCATGGTGGATCAAGAGCGTGACACAGAACTCGAAGATAGTCATAAAAAAGTCTGACCTGCCGCCACAACTCACTTCTCAGCACCCTACAAATGCGTTTTGCGTGTCCCAGGGACGGTCTTGCTTGTCCAAACAGTGCAGTAATCTCTGGGGGTATAAGACCCTTTCTCAGGTAAAAGGTGATGACTCTCGCCCGGCAGGTAGAAGAAACAATGTAGCTTAGGGTCCGCCCTCAGGAAGTCGTGTCCACACTCTATGCACAGAAGCTTTAATGATCAGGTAGCCAGGCTGAAGTCTGCCGGTTTCCCCTGCTCGGTCATTACGGCGGTTGCTGAGACGTTGCTCCAGAAGACCAAGGAAAAGCAGAGGACGCGGCCAGAGCCGCCACAAAGGAAGTGTAGACCAGAAGTGGTGCCATATATACACAAAGTGTCCCACAACCTCAAGAAGGTAGCGAATAGGTACAATGTACCTTTCGTATTCTCTGCGCCACGCAAGCTTGCGGGCCTTTGCCCGAGGATTTCCTCGGGAAGAGAAAAGACAAGTGGCTGCAACAAAAAGCACGCCCGACCGTTTGTGGATTGTGCCACAGCGGTGGTATACGAGATTCCGCTCTCGTGTGGGAAAGTATATATTGGTCAAACTGGTCGCTGCGTTAATGACCGCGCACGGGAACATGAATTGTCGATCAGGAATAAAGGCAATGCACACTTGCCTACTCACTGTGCCGACTGTGGGTGTGATGCGCGATTTCGGGAGATTAGGATCTTGGGTAGAAGCAAAGACAGCACAGCCAGAGAATTGATGGAAGCTTTTTATATAAAGAAGAACCATGACTGTGTCAGCGATACCTCGGTTTCTTTGTTTGAAAGTGAAGTGCAGTTTTTATCCGGGTTGCTGGTTCGATAATGACTATCGTGGATTGTGTCTTGGTGGATGACTTTACTATCTATTTTCGTTTTTTTCGTCTGTGTAGCGTGCTGCGCATGCTCTTTCTGGATGTTCGTGGCCGATTGCGCACGAATAAAGTAGTTGAAAGTTTGCGCTTGTCCGTGTCTACTCGCTTGTAATTGTCCCCTGTGTCGCGCAAAAAAACCTCTACACTGCATCATGAACCAACTAGGCCAACAACAAGTTTTAATTGCCATCTTACAGGTTTGCAAGATCTTTCCATGTGAATCCTTGCCAGATATTTTTGCCGCAGCTGCTGCCACTGTTATTTGTGCCTTTTGTGTTTAGTGATCGTGGTTTCTGAAACCTAAAATGGGAAAGGACTACCAAAAAGACCTGGTAAAGGCGCTAGACGAGTTCCGCCGTGAAATCCGGGCAGATATGCGAGGACTGAAGGAGAGTGTGAAATTCTGTAACGATACATGTGATGGTGTCAAGGACATCAAAAATGAAATGAAAGAACTGAGGAAAGAAATACAGCAACTAACAGCGCGCAACCAAGAACTCGATGCAGAAAACTGCAGACTCAACGCAAGGGTCGAGGAACTGGAGCAATATCAAAGATCAAATAACATAGAAATCAAAGGAGTACCATTGGAGGGGGACCCTACTGACGTTGTTAAACGAATCTGCAGTCTTATTGATGTACCAGTAAATGACTCTGACATCGACGTCTGCCATCGCGTGCCAACGTTTAGGCAGGACACAAAAAACATTATCGTGCGTTTTGTCCACCGCACAAAGAGGAACATGGTCCTGGAAAATGCCAAAAAGAATAAATTAACCACTTCGTCGCTTGATTATGGGGGTACTGCCTGCCCCATATATGTCAACGAGCACCTCACGAGTCTTAACAAAAAATTACTTGGAGCGGCCATCGCACAAAAGCGCAGAGTGGGATGGCGTTTCGTGTGGTCGGCCGGCGGAAAGATTTTTGCGCGCAAAAATCAAAATGATGAAGCAGTTCGAATCGTGTGCCTTGATGATGTTGCGAAAATCGCAAACTAAAAAAAGAAAAGAAAAAAGTTGAGCTATCGTCTGAAATAGTAACCATGAAGTTTTAATGGCTAATACTTCGCCTACATGCAAATATGTCGATCGCTCATCTTTTAACGAGGAATTCCAATGCTCTGAACCAAACTTTTTTGTGATGCATCTAAATGCGAGAAGCATAAAAAATAAGGAAGATAATCTTAACGACTTTGTTTCTTCCCTTTGCGTAAAATCCGATGTTCTCTTGTTCACAAAAACATGGCTATCAGCAAATGACGCAGCCCCAAATATTCAAAATTACAAGTATGACGGACTGGTCAGGGATAAACGGAAAGGCGGAGGTGTGGCCATTTACACGAAACGAAGTATATCGTACGAAGTTGTTGACGATTTCTGCAAACTTGATATAAACATAGAATGCATGACAATTATAATCAAGAACACAGTTATTGCCGTAGTGTACCGCCCACCTTCGCGGAGCATGTTAGCTTTTTTTGAATTCATAGAAGAACTACTACGTTATGTGGGTTCAACCGGTGCCTCACTTATGATACTTGGAGACGTTAACATAAACATAACTTCTCAAGATTCAGACGCGAGAGACTTTAGTGACCTTTTAACCCAATATGCTTGTGTAAATCTGATCACGATACCTACTAGAGTGACTGCTGAAACTGCGACTACGCTTGATATCTGTCTAACTAATTTAGAAGAAAAGGATACTACGTCAGGTGTCTTCACTGAGAATATTAGTGACCATCTGCCTATTTATTGTTTAAGCTCCGTTTCTAAAAGGAAACAAAAAAACACAAACGAGCCATACTTTTTTAGGGAAATAAACTCGGAATCTTTAGAGAAGTTCTATAGTCTCATAGAAAGAGCAGACTGGAATGCCGCATGTTCAGAGGGCAGTGCTGATTTAGCCTACTCAATTTTCTTTAATAAGTTCAAAAAGTGTTATGATGAAGCGTTTCCCCTTAAAACAGCAAACCCCAGGAAAAAAACAACAGAGGAAGCCATGGGTCACTTCTGATATGTATAAACGAATAAGTGATAAGAACAAAACGTATCATGCATTCATTCAGACTCGTGATATAAAACTGCTACATGAATTCAAAAAGAAAAGAAACAAGCTGAACTCCGAGTTAAAAAAAGCCAAACGTGTGTACTATCAGAGCAAATTCGAGTGTATATATGACGACCAACGTAAGATATGGGAAACAATAAATGACATGTCAAACAGAAAGCAAAAAGACAGCCTTGTAGAAGAATTTTTGTTGCAAGATAAGATTGTAACCGGCAAAGAAGCCGCAGATAAGATGAATCAGCATTTTATAAATGTAGGGGCGTACCCACTTGTACAGATAAACAGTGTTGTCGAAAATGTGAATATAGAGCCTCATGGATTCTATAATGTTGGTCCCGGTATCAACTTCAGAAATTGATGAAATCATAAAAAATCTAAAAAATGATTCGGCGGCCGGTGAAGACGACATTAAGCCCCGACCTATAAAATATGTAGCCTCGATAATAACTCCGGTCCTGTCTAACTTAGCCAATAAAATGTTACAAAGCGGAATTTTTCCAAACAAACTTAAAATTGCCAGAATTCATCCTGTCTACAAAGGAGGGGGAGTAAATAACATGGACAACTATAGACCAATTTTTATTTTATCTATATTTTCAAAAAATTTCGAAACTACTATAAAGAAAAGTTTAAATTTTTTTTTTAATAAGCACAAAGTTATAACGTCTTCACAATATGGATTCCAAAAGCATAAATCTACGGAGCAAGCTCTTCTAGATATCAAAGACAAAATAATTGCGAATATTGAAAGTAAATTATATACTCTCGGGCTTTTCCTGGACCTAAGAAAAGCATTTGACACTGTGCAGCACGAAATATTATTGCGTAAACTAGGTAGGTACGGTATACATGGAATCGCACAAAAACTAGTAAAAAGTTATTTAACCGATCGTTATCAATATGTAACAATTAATAAGATATCCTCCTCCCACTTAAATATACAACATGGTGTTCCCCAGGGATCAATCTTAGGCCCCTTATTATTTTTAATATATATAAATGATCTGACATAAATATCTGGACCGCAGGAAGTAATCGTGTATGCTGATGATTCTAATATATACTTTAGTGGAAAAACAAAACAAAGTATTGAGCTAGCCGCAAACCCATATGTCTTAAAACTGTCAGAATGGCTTCAAGGAAATAGACTGCAATTAAACTCAAACAAAACAAAATACGTAATTTTTAAACCAGTAAATAAACGGGACGCCGATAGTATAAGTATCAAACTTGAAGGTTTAGAACTGGAGCAAGTACGTGAGCAAAAATTTCTTGGTGTTTGGTTTAGTGAGGAATTGTCATGGAGTACTCATATAAACAAGTTAAAAGCTGACCTGTCCAGAATTATAGGCAATTTGTATAAAATCAGAAATTTTATCCCATGTTGGCTGCTTAAAAATATGTATCACTCATTGGTTCTTTCAAAATTAAGCTACGCAATTTTGGTCTGGGGGACCACAACAGCCTCAAACTATAATAAATTAATGGTCCTCCAAAAAAGAATTTTACGTATGCTCGAGGACTACAAGGGGGATTACAGGATTCTACGTACGGAACCTTTGTTTCTAAAACATCACATGCTTAGGGCAAATCAAATATATTACTTTAAATTGCTTCAATTAATCCACAGGAATAGAACCTACTTAGCGCTAGAAAGTGAACTAACACCAGTGTACGATATTCGACGACCGAAACGTAAAGTACCTATAATACGCACAAATTATGGACGACAAACTTTAGCCTTCCAGACTGCTACAATTTTGAATCGTGATTTACTCGAATTAAACTTTGATGTATCAATATCAAAATTTAAAAGAGATTGTAAAACAAATTTACTGTGCAGTGCTCTCACATTTTCTTAGGTACTGCTTGTCTTTCTTAAAACTGCAATCATATTTTGTAAGCAATGACCTTAC